ATATATATTATATATCTATGTTTGTGTATATATATAAATGACATATCATAAGTAGTAAAAAATGATAGACACATATATTAGGTGTAATAAAAAGTCATCGCGTATTTTTTAGTTCAAAGTTGTATACTCGTATACAATATCTTCGTCAATAATAAATAAAATTCAAATTTAAAAAAAGGGTTTTAAAGCTTGAAATCTCTACTTTTAAAAGCTTATCACATTTTTTAAGTTTATATGAGTTTGATAATTTTTACATACCAAAAACTACGAGCTGAAAAAGACGAAAAATTTTCTTCTCACTTTGTGGATTTGTAACGTGTCCAAAACGAATTTGAGAAAATTTTCGATTACATATCGTGAAAGCTTGATACTTTCCCTACAAAATCGTTTTTTTTAAATATTCCTACGACTTTTGATTACTGAGTTATCGCGGATTAAATAAAAGAATTATTTTGACTTTAATTGCTCATAACTCCATTAAAAATTGTCGTATCGTATAATTTAAAAAAGAGATTTTTAAAGCTAAAACTTTACTCTATTAAGATATATTTATATTGTTGGTAAGAAAGTAATTGCGGTTTTTACTAATAGATGTCTTTTAAAAAAACGCGATGACTTTTTACTACACCTAATATTAGTTAATTATATGACTTAATTTTCTTTAAATCGTAAAATTGATAATTGAATATTCAATTTATCAAATTGTGATAAAAAAGTATGTTACTATTTTGTATAAAAATATACATAAGTGTATATTTCGCTTGATTAATACACTTTACTTTCTGCATTTACTTGTAAACCTTTTTCTTCTATTTCTTTCCAAAGTTCGAAGATGTCTTAATACATATTTATCTCAAAAAAGCACGGAAATTGTACTTACAGGCCAGGAAAAATATTTCATATATATAATTATATAAAATTATATAAAATTACATACAGTTATTTAAAAAATGGACATACTTTATATATAATTATATATGAAATATGTCCACATATATGTAACATTTTTTCCGGAAGATACGTTCTGTTTTATGTTTACAACGTTTATAAAACATTATTTGTCCTTGTTTAATATTTGACAACAAGAATGAATTGATCTTTATAACTTTGAGCGTGAAAATGGAATGCATTTACAGTGTTTAACTATTAGCCCGAATCTTCATATGGGGCACGGGCAATAACGCTTTGACACATCGAACGCTAATTGGTGAAAAACGGGTGATGGAGGTAAATTTTACCACAACCTTTTCATCAATCAGCTTTCAGTGTTAAAGCACTGTTGTCCGTATGAAAATGGGCGAGTTCAAGATGGCAAAGCGGCTAGGCATACTTATCGAGCGATTGAATATAATTGATTGGATCTATAAGTAACAACCAATTATGTTCATTTGCTCGGCAAGCCGCTTTGTCAACTTGAACACGCCCAATCTCCTGGGCTTAAGGTAGTTGTATTGCAAACATTACTTAAAGATGACTTTTCTTAAGATTTGTTTGAAGCTTTTAGACCTTAGCAGAAAGCTGACTTAAGCCTTGTATCCACGATGCTAGAAATTGGTCCGAGACCTCGGATGAAGAAAAAATTGACCAATCTATTCATAATAGTCATGTGATCAAATTGTTCCAAGGTGATTTATTAATTTTTTCTCTCTGTCCGAGATCTCGGACTGTTGTGCCGGTATTTCACGGCACGGTTCACGGATCCACAAAGGACTTCGACGACAAGATGATGGGAGATGACAATAAGCAACTTTTATATTTTTGTTTAGTAAAAATATATTTAGTTTTGACACTTAACACTAGTGGTTATTTTATTACAATTTCACTTAGCCCTATTCGCGTCGCGGTAGGTACTGTTACAATTTCGATTGGACGACAGGCAAAGTGCGACAAGTTTTTTTAAATTTCTGACCGACGACCGCATTCGCGGCCGCACTTATATAGTTTAATTTTCGCGATTAACCATGGCCCTTTCGCGTTGGCCCGTCAGCATTCCGCTTATCGGACGAGGACAGCTTCACGCAACTTCTGAGTCTGCATTTCTTAACAATTACAATTTATATAATTTATATTCGCTCAGGATCTTCTTTTATATTAATTATTTAAAAATATCTTTAAGTATATTTAACAAATTAGTTTCGGCAATTAACCGTTTATATTTCTGACACGTTCGTGGCGCAATCGTCACTTGTGCAATTAGCACTCGTGACAGAACCAATTTTTAACATCGTGGACATTGAGCTTTATAATCTTAAAACAGTGACTTTGTTTACACGGCTCGATTTATGCCAAAGTTATAATATCGATATATATTATGAAATTGGCCAATCATAGCTATTCCTCTGAAGAATGGAATCAGTGTGATTGGCCAGTTTTATAACATCGATATTAGACCTTCGGCGTAAATTGAACACTGTAAACGTAGTCAGACCTGTCGTTCGACTGTAACAGGGGAATACTGTAGTTGGTTAGTTCTTACATTCTGATCCGGTTTAAACTCTCGGTGGAAACTAGACCACTGTTACTAATCCGTATAAATTGAAATCGTATTGTCTAGGGGTTTTTGTTAGTACCAACATTTTCCAGTCTAGTTTTTCAGGAAAATGTCGTGTAATCGAATTAATTTAAAATTATTCTGTTTTTCATAGAAAACACAATAGAAATCTAGGGAATAATTGAATAATTCTGATCGGAATCCATTCCAATTTATGTCATGTTAGGTGCCCTGGATGGTTACTTCAATGACTGCGTTCAGCGGACTGAACAGTTGAGTGAGCGCTCGCTGTTATTGACGTATTCTTCCAGATCTAAAATACTAATTGTGAATGATCTAAAAGAATAACGCCAATAAAGGCTTAAACACAATAGGCACAGGTAGTGTCCTTAGAATACAGAATTCGGCTCCTAAAATGGTGGACACATCTGCGCGCACATTTCTGTCGCATATTTGCACTAGTGCAACAAAAATGAGAGAGAGAATAAGTCCGGCACAGAGGTTATAAAGAGTATATAAGTAAATAAATAAAGTAAAATACTATAGTATTATATTAAATACAAAATATCAAAATATGAAAAAAATGTGAATAAAATGTATTTACATTCTAACAAAAAATTAATGTGTTATAAATATAGAAAGTAGAATAATAATATAAATAATATTTATGAGTATAAAAGTACTATGATAATAATTCTCTGTATTTACAAGATACACAATGCCATATTATTGCGTAATAAAATATTTTAATTCATGGAAGACAGGTAATACAATACATTATCTTCCCCAAAATTATGAAAGACTTGTATGGTGATTGGTTCCGCCATTTTTAAGGGGTCTGACTTCAGAGTATCAATCATAAAAGTTTTTTCCCTAGGATGAAAAATGAAAATTTTCTCTATTAACTTCAATAATAAAATTTTCACTTTTCATTCTAGGAATAAAGTTTCATAATTGATATCTTGATCCAATAAAAAAAGGTTTACGAGATCGCCGGACTTTGTATTCTAGGGACACTAGGCATCGAGAACAGGAAATAACGAGCTGTCCAATCAGAACTCTGGGATATAATATCGAACTTACACACCAGAGTTCTGATTGGATGGCTCATTATTCCCAATTGCCTGTGTTCATTGCTTGTGCTTATTGCTTGTGCCTAATGTGTTTAAGTTTTTACAGTGATCGCTCACTCAACTGTTGAGTCCGCTAAACGCAGCCATGACGCACTTTCTATTCCGCAGTCCTAGCACCGTATGATTTCATCCTAATGTTGGTCAGGGCGATGTTCAGGAGCGTTTATAATAGAGAGTATTATAATATCCGATCGGAATTATGTCGGAATTATGTTTCCTACAATTTCTTTAAAAAATACAAGAGAAATGTAGGAAATAATCGAATTATTTTGATCGGAATCCATTTCAAGCAATTCCACAATACGTTCAGAAATATCGAAATACTAGAGAGACTGACGACAGCGCTTGACAGAACTTCCAGGGACCCTATTCTTGAAAAGTATCGCATACGAAAAACTAGAGAAATGTTATAGTATATAACGCATACTATAGTATTTTTCTAGTATTTTTCGTATGCGATACTTTTCGAGAATAGGGGCCCAGAGCGCTGTAACGCCTTCAATCAAAAAGCCTGCTCTTTTTGGCTGAACTTTTGCATCAATGCGTCTTTTTTCTTTTTCTTTCTTCTTAAACAGAAAAGAAAGATGAACTGGTGCAAAAGTTCAGCTAAAAAGAACAGGCCTTATATTTCGGTCAATTACATGATTTTTATGTAGTTAATTATAACTATATGGATGACTCACAAACCTTTTTAATAATACTTTAAAACTCTTTATACAAAATATGTTTTGGAATAGTAAGGACCCATCTCACCAATTCCTTGTTGGATTAACCTAATCGGTCGATTACAATAGATTATAATCAGTTACTTAATGAAATTGACCAATTGCATTTGCTGTTTAACAGAATTGACCAATCGGTTGACACTTAATCGATCGATTAGGTTAACCGAAGTTAGTGAGACCGATCCTAATTCTTTTTACCCGATGCACTTGTTCGGTCAAGTATGTACATACGCATCCAAATTTTGCTACGTGCAGCGCATAAAAAGTCAGCTTAAAGTGAATCCTAGGAAGTTTCACGTGAGGCGCGCGTGCAGCATACTTGCGCGCGCATATTCGTTCTCCGTGATTCTAGTCATCTAGTGTGCTAGTCGCGTCGCGCACTCTTCCGTTCGCGTTAGGGATTCCATTCGTTTACCTGTGTGTGACATTTTTTTTCCACGGACCGTTCGCGCTGTTCCAACATGTTTACCTGGTTGTACCGCCCTCATCATGATAAGCAGCAATCCGTCATCAATTCCATAATGATATTCACGTCGCCTTATCGACAGCATTAATTCTCAGGTACGTGGACCGCAGACAGTGCCGAATTCCGCGACACCCCGCCAACGCGAATGGTAAACGGCGGCGCGCCCTGACGAGAATCTGTTTACGTAGTAATGGCGAATGTGCGTACTCCTCGTCACCGTCGTGACGCCTTCCTCCACCTTTCGTATTTTTTCCATTTAGAAGAAAACGACGAGTCTGGTTAGAGCAGGGTATAGTGGGGTAAAGAGCGGGGAAATTACTAGAATTTCAATTTTTCTTTTTTTTTTATCGCGAATTGGATATATAATTGTTAAATAACTTATTTTTAATTTTAGAGTTTAAGAGAAAAAAATGTTCATTTTGGTAAAATCTAATCAATTTCGTTATCACTATTCTGACAAAATACTTTGTGGTAGTTTTACAGTAGTTGTGTAAAAAGGATCTTATTATCAAAGTACTGTTGAATTCTTTTAGTTTTGTTTTATAGATTGTTCTTCTGATTCTAATTTATACAAGGGTCAAAGTATTACTAAGTTTTTTACAATTAAAAGCCTAATGCCTTTGTTTTTTATAGCCAGAAACAGAATTTTTATAATAATACATAATTTTTAGCTTTGCAAAACAAAAATAGAGAGAGAAAGAGAGAGAGAGAGTGTCATGGATGATGAAGTGCGACTTGAAGGTGAAGAGGAGATGGAGCTGGATGAGGCTTCAGATGGTGAAGACGAAGATGAAGAAACAACAGGCATTCCTATATCTCCTGCTAACTCAGATCAATTGCTTGGACAGACAACACCAACCACTGGTAGCAGTAATTATATTTTAAACATTCTCTTTGTTATTTTTAGAAAAATAATATGCATGTTGCAATCGCTATTATAATATTTATAAAAGTAATATAAACATAATTATTTAATTTACTAAAATATCAGAAGTAGAGTATTAAATTAAGTAAAGAATAAAATAATACATAAATTACAAAAAAAGTTTTAATTTTCTACAAAGGAGTATATGTATAATACTTAATGTTATATTTAATTAATTTATTATTATTTATATTAATTTATCTTTTAAAATTTATTCTAAAAAAAAAAATTTAGTTACAGCAGATGAGGTTTTTCATGATCCACTGCGGTACTCAAAGTTTTCATTACCTGGTGGTAAACCTTTGAATATTCGCCGTGGACCTGGCAGACCGCGGAAAGAACGACCTTTTGGTCTAACTCGTGGAGGAGGCACAAAAAGATCTTTTGGAAGGGGTAGCGCCAGAGGCAAAGGGTTTGTTCAGTCATTATAATTATTATTTGAATATGCACACAATGCGTGCTTATTTACATATGAATATATATGATATATGTATATATCATGATTGTTGTGTATTCATATATATATGTATCCATATATATGTGTGTGTATATATAAAATTACGTTTTTTAATAAAATATTTAGTAATTATTTGATGTCATTTTTAAATATTTTATTATTTATTTCTATAGATTTGGATATACAAGAGGTGTACCGCGTCGCACCAAAAGTAAAGATGATGATACACACTCGGAATCACCAAGTCCTTTGCGTATCACTGGGATGGATGATACTGGTCCTGATGGTAGTAGTGAATTAGTGGGAAACTCAATCGAGAAATCGATGCCGGCGCCCGAAGAACCCCCTTACTTTCCTGAACAATGGCAAGATAATTTTTATTTTGTATTTAAAATGAGTTTTAGTAATTAAATGTAAAATATTGTAAAATGATTTACATACACAATAGAATTTTAAAAATATTTTTTATATTTCATGAAATAATTATTTCGATAAATTAAATAAAAAAGAAATGAAATATTAAAGCAAAAAGCAAATTTAAGTATTTTGAACGATATTAAAAACTATAATTATAAAAATTTCTAGGCCGGGCAAAGTATGTGCGTTATGCAATTTAGGTGAGAGGAGTCAGTTGGGACAAGGTGAACTTTTGCGTTTGACATGTCCACCGGGTTTCACTCCTGAGAAGCCGACAAACCGCGATGAAACAAGTAGCGACCATCTTGTCAATGTCGCTGTCGCAGGAGATAAAAGTCCGCGTGCTACTGGACCTGGAATTGCTGTTACCTGTCGTAGACAAAAAAGTCTAGCCAAATGCAGGTAAAAATATATTACAATCTTTCTTAACTAGCAAATTCATAAAGCTTATTACCTTATATAGAAATAACAATTAAAATATATTAGGTGTTGGAATTAATTCGTAGCGTTTTTTTAATGAAAGAACGTTATTTATTTCGTTTTTCATTAATTAAAGTACTTCCCATCACTTTCTACTACTTTTGACCATCTTTCGGGCAGTGAATGAATACCGCGTCGGAAGAACTGTTCGTCTTTAGATGAAATCCACGAATCGAACCATTTTTTCATCAACTGATGTTGATGGTTCGCCGGGATGGTTAACCCATGACTTTCTGCGCTTTGGATTGTCATAATGGATGCACTTTTCATCTCCAGTCACAATTCGAGCGCTTTTTTTCATGTTAAAGTAATGAAGTAGAACTCCCCGCAAAAACACTTTATTTGGCACAAATTTTGACATATTCAATGAATTATACAGTGTTGTTATTTATGATTTCAAGAAAGGTTATGTACGGCAAATGACGTCCTATGATAGCTGTTTACAATGCATACAGAACTATAGGTAACAACGAAATAGTGTACTGCTTGTGCCATCTCTTGTAAAACGCTACGAATTAATTCCAACACCTAATATTAAAATTTATGTCTGTATATTAAAATCATTTTTTACAGGAATACTAGTCTAACTAATTTCACGGAACCGGTGGAAGAATTGACAATCGTAGGTTATTTGGAGGAACCGGAAGTCGGGACTCTGTTTGATTCCTCAACCGGTTATTACTATGTTCATCAATCATGTATTATCTGGTCTAGCAACAGTCAAGTTTTACTATCAGAATTGGCATGTCGTGCTGTTTTACAAGCTTCTTCCAGACGGTGCGCCTATTGCTCGCATTATGGTGCTGGAATTTCTTGCAAAGTGAGCTATAGTTTAGCTATACATTATAGTAGTCAGTGATATAAAGATTTTATATATTATATTATATTATATATATATATATGAATTCTAATAAAAGTAAAACAAATAATTGATTATTTTATATTCAGAATTAAATAATTGTAAAAATAAAAATTGAAAAATATTTTATATGTATTCACAGTTTAATTATAACTGCTTAATTAAACTAATTGCGATATTTGACAGGTAACCTCGTGCAATCGTTATTTTCATTTTCCGTGTGCTGCGGCCAGCAGCTGTTTTCAAGACAGTAAAAACTTGGCCCTTTTCTGCAGTCAGCATCTTGGCCAAGTTCCACTTTTATGTAAGTTTCTGATGTTTAAATTTTTTTATTGTATTTTTAAATTTTCTAATATTTTTTTAATACCTGAAAATGAAGTAAAAGTAAGAAAAACTTTAAAATCTAAATTCTATATATTTTTTACATAAGATTTACGTAAATATAGGAAAATTATTTTACTAATATAATAGTGAATTTATGCGAATTTTATTAATATAAATGCGAATTTGTGAACATTTTTTACAATTTTAAACTTTTTTGAACTTTCACTCCTATGAGAATTCGCCCTTCATCGTTTCTCAAAGGAAAAATTCAGGACGGAAGTTGTACTTATGTACAAATAGGATTGTCTAAACTTTGTTTTAACTGCGTTTTATATATATTGCCATAATTTACTCGATAGTGCGTGCGCGCATACACACGTACATATATGCATCATTGTTACCTGATATATTATATATTCTCCAAATCAAATAATTTTTATCTAAATATTTTTAGCTACGGTGCTTACTTGTAAGAGATAAAATTTTGTAAATATTTTAGCTGTTTGATTTTAAAGAAATTAATCAAATGCAAAATAATTTTACACTTATAGTATGTGGAGAAGTTACTTGCGTTCAATGTTATGGAATGGGCGATGTCTCGAATCTAATGATGTGCTCCGTGTGCGGCCAACACTATCACGGCAGTTGTGTGGGCTTGGCATTATTACCTGGGGTGCGTGCTGGATGGCAGTGCGTGTCTTGCCGTGTATGTCAAGTCTGTCGGCAACCCGAGGATGTCTCAAAGGTTATAAAAATTCAAATAAATACAGAACGAATAGAGAAATGAAAAATAAAACTTAATCATAAAATACAGATTTTGATTTTGTTGTGATACTATTTGAGTAATCAGCAATTTTTTGTTAAGTTGAAAAATTGTTTTCCTTTTTTTCTGAAAAACTTAATTTTTTTAGTTGTATCACTTATGAAGAAACGATACACACACGCACGCACACACACATATCTTCTCTTTTTAATGGTTTTTATAAAACAAGATTTTTGTTATAGGTAATGCTATGTGAACGATGTGACAAGGCTTATCATCCCGGTTGTTTGCGACCGATTGTCACTTCTATTCCAAAATACGGCTGGAAGTGCAAATGTTGTCGCGTGTGCACCGATTGTGGTTCACGTACTCCTGGAGCTGGACTATCTTCCAGATGGCATTCTCATTATACCGTCTGTGATTCATGCTATCAGCAGCGTAATAAGGGCTTCTCTTGTCCACTCTGTAGAAAGGCATATAGGTAATCAAGATATCTCACTTTTGCAAAATTTTTGTATTATATAAATAAATAATTATAATATTTTATTGAAGTTAAGTATGATTAATTTTTGTAGAATTTTTATAACTATTTATTAATTATATATTATTTTATTGATTTTGACATCATTTCCAAAGCTTTGATACAAATATATGAAAATTTATATATATTTATATTTGTGTTATTGTATGTATTTTTATTATGTTTTTATTTATTTATTATTTGTTGCTTTTTTCTCTTTGCAGAGCTGCAGCATATCGTGAAATGGTCCAATGTCATGGTTGCAAGAAATTTGTGCATGGCACATGCGATCCCGAAGCCGATCCGCTTACTTATCAGCAGCGCAAAGAAGCGAAGCCGGATTACGAATATGTTTGTCTGCATTGTAAGAGCATCGCTATGGTAGCCAGACGGAAGGACAGTATTGATGAAGGCGATTTAAGTCTAAGTGCTTCGCAAGAAAGTCTCGATGGTGAATCTTCTGAGTTAGATTATCCAAGTGGTTGTTCTGAAGAAGCGCTTTATTCGGTCGGATTAGGGAAAGGAAAACCATTCTGTGCCACAAAGATTGCAAAGAAAAGATTGGGGATTAGCGGCGGAGTTATCGGTAGGCCCAAAGGTATTGGAAAACTGGGTTATCAAAAGAGGCAAAAGATGACAGAGTTTGGAAGAAAGAGAGGGCCCAAGGGAAAAATGAGAGGATTTTATGGAGTGCCAGAAGTAGGTTTGCAGGTATGTGGCGCTTTAAAATGATTTTTAATGTGTATTTTTATATTTACAAAGAATTTTATTTATTTTATATTTTATTGTTTATTTTGGTATTAATAAATAAATTTTTTAATTAAAAGAATTATTTTTGACGAAATTGAGGTAAATATTGAGATAGAGTGAGCCAGCGCCGATTTTGACATATGTTGTCAAGGTCCATGACCCTGATCTCCAACAGGTTTTAGTCATTGCTCGTTATTCGTTAAAAAGTTATTAACAATCAAAATTAGTAATTATTTTCCTGCTGTACATGAGTCAGATAACTTTAAACAGGGAGAGAGATATGAAGTGGACGAATTCAAGGAATACAACTTTCCATGCGAAGTGACTTTCATCCCGACTTTCCCTCTGCCAAGGGGCGCGCGACTTTCCTCGCGAAGTGACTTTTACTCCAACCCCTCCTCCTCCGTCCCCTGCCAAGAGGCGCGCGATTTTCCACGCCAAGCGATTTTCATCCCTCCTCTCCTACAAGAGGTGCGCGACTTTCCACGCGACAACATATGTGAAGATCAAGGTAATTGACGCTGGGCTCCCTCCATCTCAATATTTATCAAAATCGATTTGTTAATGTATGTTTTCTTTGGCTTTTATTTTTTTCTTTTGTAGTTTATTAACTGATACATATATATGTGTATATACATAGACTAGTAATATATCGGATCGTAAAATTACTGGATATCGGATATCCAGAAAGAATGTGACATTGGATATCCGATATTCAGTTAATCTATCGATCGAATATCCGGTAGGGTAATCCAATCAGGCACCGGATATTTTTGATTATCCGGTACAATTTTTCCATTCTATTAATAGCGAATTCGATTAAATGCATTCAATGAAGCCATTGAATAGAAGCACATTAAAGCCATTTTATACAAATTGACGTAAAAATGTGTATTTAATATAAATATAAAAATGGATTACACTATAAAATTCTTAATATATTTTATTGTGCTGTTAAGTAAAAGTTCTGTTTTATAATTCGAAATATTTGCACTTTATTATTACGCAGATTATTACGCAGAAATTAGTGTACAATGGTTTTAATATGCACTAGTGCGTCCAACCGAATTCGCTATAGAAAAAAAAAGAAAAAAGGAAAGCAAGAGAAAAATAACAATAATAATTTTTTTGTCTCCTCAACGAAAAGAAAAAGAGGAAAGATGAACTATGCAAGAAATTCAATTGAAAAGAATAGAATTCTGCATCAATAACACAAACTTTCAAAATAAAATTTTAGTCAGATATACAGGATATTTTCAAAAATAGTTGGCCAAACTTTAAGAGCATATTCCACTCATTGTAAGGATGAAAAAAAATCATGTAAACATGGGTTTGGAAACGCTTCCTTTCCAAGTTATAAACATTTTTTTATTTTATACTTATACTTACATTTTATTTTATACTTATATCTATATTTTATTTTATACTTGTATATTTATATTTTATTTTATATTTGTATTTTTTATTTTATACTTATATCTATATTTTCATCACAGAAATTGCTGGAAATGATTTCCTTCCGTATCGATGCATGCTTCGTATCGACGTCACATGGATTGTCGAAGACGTTCAAAAATTCTCAGAGTATTTTATCACACGCAGCGAAAATACGAAATTCGGAATACTTTGTTACTGATGTTAGAATAAGCTGCTATATTGATTAATATTATTTTTACTCTTAAATGCTTAAATAAAAACTGATGAACTAACTTCCAATTTCATACAGACCTATTTAATAACTCTTTGTTTACTTTAGAAGGTGAATAAAAGTACAATTCATGAAATGTCGAAGCAAGGCGTGTCATCCGACGTAAATACGTACAATTTAAATAAGAAATGTTTATAACTTGGAAAGGAAGCGTTTCCAAATCCATGTTTATATGATTTTTCATCTTTATAACAATGAATGGAATATGCTCTTAAAGTTTGGCTAACTATTTCTGAAATATCCTATATATATATTGATGGTTTAATGATATCCTGTTATCCGGCCGGATAGTAAGGCTGGGTGCCGAATATTTCCCGGATATTCGATATATTTCTATAAACAGGGTTATCCGGTAATGACCTATTGTAGACGGACTAAATTGAATCGAAAAGTATCATTTCGTAATTTTTGCAATAATTAATGAGATATTAATTTCAAATTAAGTTAATTTTATTTCTTATTATAAGAACATTATCTGATAGTTTTACTATAATATATCTTGTATAATATATAACTGGATCTATAACTTTCTCTGTAACTTAAATAAATTAATTCTTCTTTAACATCGCAGAGTCCGAATCCAGATTCATCCCAATCGAAGGAAGAAGAACAGCTTGGGGGTGAAAACAGATTGATCTTGTGCTCGGCCAAAGATAAATTTGTTCTTACACAGGATATTTGTGTGATGTGCGGCTCGATTGGTATGGATCAGGAAGGTTGTTTGATTGCATGTGTACAATGCGGTCAATGTTACCACCCATATTGCGCTGGCGTTAAGATCACTAAGGTCATCTTGCAAAAGGGCTGGCGGTGTCTCGATTGTACTGTTTGTGAAGGTATTGAAAAATTAAAATACATATATATTTTAATTTCTAAAATGTTTGATTTAGTGTTATTGGTTTTACAAGTCTTGAAAATAAGTGAAAAAAAAATAATTATACCGTTGAAAAATAAAAATTTGCTTTCTTTAATTAATTTTTTAACATAAGCTATTGTTGGAATGAAATTCATTATATTATTATTTAATATTTAAAAAATAGAATATAATATATTATGAATTAAAAAGCATTAAAAACGTTAGTTATAACTTAAGATGTTCAGTAGTGGTAAAAAAATTAATAGAATTATAAAATATCTTGCCAGATAATTTTATTGATTTCTATTATTTTTTAATTATTATGTAATCGAGAAATTTTTAATGAGTTGAAAGAATTTTATTAAACATTCTAGTATTAATAGAATATTTTGTTTTTAAGGCTGTGGTGAACGAAATGATGAAGCTCGCTTGATTCTTTGTGATGACTGCGATATCAGCTACCACATTTATTGTATGGATCCGCCTTTAGATTATGTGCCGCACGGTACATGGAAGTGTAAATGGTGTGCGCAATGTCAGACTTGTGGTTCTAACGATCCCGGTTTTAATTCATCCTGGCAAAAAAGTTACACTCAATGCGGACCCTGTGCTTCTCACACCGCTTGCCTAGCTTGCCAAGAAGCTTATCAGGAAGGTGATCTCATCATTCAATGCGTACAATGCGAAAGATGGCTTCACTGCGGTTGTGATTCAATTAAAAGCGAAGCTGATGCAGAACGTTGTGCTGAGGAGGGTTACGTTTGTCTTCTTTGTCGTCCTAGAGATGTTCCCCCTCCTCATCTTCTCTCTAAACCTTCCTCGAAATTCATTCGGTCATCTTCTCCACCTCAAAATCGAAATACAGAATTGTTTAAAACTTCCTCGCAACAATATGTATTGGAAGGAGTATATCTTTCTGAAGTAGGGATGAATCATATCAAATCTTTAACCGCAGAACATCAGCAAACAAGGAAAAAGAAAAGAAAACAACCTCAAATGGTGGATAAAGAAGCAGATATAATGGCGACTATTGAATCTGTCATTGCTGGAGGAAGTTTAGACAATTCTTTAGAGGAAAATAATAAATTGGAATTGATGGATGTCAAAGATGAACCAGAAACAGTGCTGAAAGAAGGTATGGTATGGAACCAACCTCCTCCAGAAGGCTTCAGCATTTGCACTTCAGAAAATGGACTTCCTGTTTTACGAAGAAAACGTCAAAGAAATCTGCAAAAATTAGGTATTGGAGGATTTAGTGTAAGATTGAGAACCAGAAAAGATAAAGAAGAAGAAGGAGATACTGAAAAACCTGGAGAATCTTCAATCGTAGGAATGGGAGACGATAAACCCCGAAGGAAACCTCAGAGAAGAAAACCAAAACCAAAACTGGCGGAATATTTTCCTATTTACATGCAAGAAGCGTTTTTTGGCAAGAATTTAATGGATACAACGAAAGAAAAAGATCCTGAAAGCAGCAGCGAATCTGAAGAAGAACATAAAGTCCCTGAAAATGCCAATACAATTCAGTTATCTCAAGATGAATTGAAGGTAATGGAACAAGTCAAAGCAAAACAAGAAAAAGACGATGAAAAGATTGCTCCTGAGCAAATCAAAAGAGAAGAAATCGTGGAAGATGATGGAAGTGATACTGAAGCACTTGGAGATATTTTACCTATTTCCGGGGATTTATTGGATAGCGATCTAGTAAATACAATAATGAACGAAAACGATGAGGACTTAGCTAAAGCGAGCGAAGCACTGGACGAGTTGGATGATGCTCAAGGTGGAAGTAAAGATGAACTGACGGATATCTTAAGTCCACATTTTAATTTGGAGTCGATGGTCAGAGACACTGGTAAGCTCTTTTCAAGTAAATATTAAATATTTTGTCGTAATGTTATATTAATATAACAGAATATATTACTTTATTAAAATTTTAATATTGTTTTAGTAGAACATTAAAATATAATTAACTAGATATAAAATTAAACACTTGTTTTTTTAAGGTTTACCTAATATGGATAGTAAAGACATCGAGGAAATATTTAAAGGCGTTCTGACTGATGAATCTCAAGAGTCTCAGGAATCATCGGTGTTCTCTGTCCAAGCTCAGACTTCACATCCCTCATCATCAACTACTCCTCTAGTGTCACCCTCTCCTCATCCTGGTAAATACATGCTAAAAATAATATACAAGGTATTTCACGTATAGACATTATTTCAGAAATGAATTCAGGACGTAAGTAACGAGAAATATCTGTAATTTGGAAATGAGCTATTACAAATATTTATAGAAACTTTTTTGTTATTTTTATGTCCTGAATTTATTTCTGAAGCTACATGTTATGAAATATCTTGTATGTATGTATAATTAAATGAAACAATAATAATTATATACTATAATAATATTATTAACAACGTTAAATTAAAATTTAAATAAAAATAAAAGTGACAAAATTACAATAATTATTAAAGAAAAAATGTAAGATAATTGAGTTGTTTATTAAGTAATATTGGATGTATTCAGAACGACAATCACTTACTGAGCACTTAGTGAGTTCTTTTATTTGATTGGCATGTTTCATTAGATCAATCCTAGATCAATCGGATGAAAGAGCTCTAAACTGTATTCAGTAAGCAGTTGTCATTATGAATGCATCCATTATTCATGTTATAAATTTATGACTAACCGTTCATTGCAATGTTAAATTTTCACCTTTTGTCTGCAACTTGAATTTCCGAATTTTAATGCAGATTTTTCTATTGTTCTGGATTGTAAAAGTCTGAAAAAATTTTTACACATTTGTGCATCTTTAATAATGGATTGTAATTTACTTATTTTTTCTATGTTTAAATTTATCTATCGGAAACCATAATTAAAAAATTAGCTGTGCTTTTAAAATACAATTTTGTCAATATAGAGCTAAAATATGTTTTAAGATAATATTTGAGTATGCAATTTGAATATCTTGATATATCAGTTTTGTTGTGTTTTTGTACTATTGAAATAAATTGAATTATATATTCATTTTATAAGAAAATAAGAAAACTAGTTTATAAAAATATTAGAAGTAGATTATTTTATTTCTTATAACTTTAATTCTTATACATTTTATATTTTATATATTATTGAAATCAATTGCTTTATAGGTATTCAAACAGCAATATTAGCAAGACCTCAAGTACCTGGTGCTCTACCTTCGGTTGGCCAATCAAACTTAAATTCTCCAATGAGTTTTCCACCACCTTCACCGTACCACTCTGAATATAGCAAGTAAGAATAAACATATTTTGAAAATATCAAAATTAAATTGATTTCTAAAATATGTATATGTGCACACATTGATATTAACTTTAATTTCTATATAATTTAATTATTTTTTAATTTTTTTAGTAGTCCACAGTTTAGTCCAGCATTTTCGGAGCCTCCTAGTCCATGGGTGAATCCCGAAGATGAAGGAAATGCTCCAATAGGCACTGCTACCATTTCATACAACCAAAAAAACCATCTAAAGCTGGAAGCTGATGAAGCATTGGGTGTTGGAGCGACAATATCTTCGGTTCTCTATGCTAATATTAATCATCCTGAGTGGAAAACTGATTTTCCAAGTAAGAATACGTTTTTGAATTAAGGATTTTAAATATTTTATCTTTGAGAATTGTTATTTTTCTAAAAATCCTTTAATATTTCTTTTATCTATTGATTCTGCCAAATGAAATTTCGATATTATATCTAATTTAAAATATTGTTATTTTAATGAATGTTTTTATTTTACAAAGTATGGGCCGAGAGATGTAAACAAATTCTGAAGAAATGGCGAGCACTTCCAACTGAAAAGAAAGCCCCATATTT